TGGGATGTGCCACACGTTTGTGAGCACACCTTTCTTCATCCCTTGGGGTGTCTTCATCGACATGACAATGTCCCCACTGCCGATTGCTTGGACGATTCCATCATCCGCGAGATGGACATCCACAGCGTCAAACCCCTTGTAGTTCCGCATGAACTTCTTGGAGCACGTCATGTGCTGCGTCGCCCCGGAGTCGACCAGCCAGATGTCGCTCGATTTCGCAGATGTCGTTTCACCGATCGAAAAGAGGTAGTCGCCCGAGTCTTCTTCTTGAGCGACGTTTGCACGTTGTGATCGATAGCGGTCGCCGCTGTCTTGAGCACGCTGTGGCCGGTGTCTCTCCGTGTTTTCTTGGATGCGCGAGGGGCACTCCGCCATCCAGTGACCAATCTTTCCGCAATTGTGGCACGGCCAGGACTTCTTCACTGGTCGCCCTTTGCGCTGATTGTCCCTTGTGATGAACGCTTGACCTTGCGAAGCTTCATCACCTTTACTTCCTTGCTCCTTCCGCTTCATTTCTTCATGAAGCAGTCGAGATGTCACGAGCTCCCAGCTAAGAGTGTCTGAGCGCGACTCCAAAGCTGTGATCAAGAATTGATACGAGTCACTCAGGCTGCCGAGAAGTGTGATCACCAGATCGTCCTCGCAGACTGGAGCCCCCACCGCTTCTAGCTGTTCTGCCAGCGTCTTGAGCTTGTTGATGTGTTCGAGCACATCGTCGCCTTCTTCCATCATTGTCGTGAAGAAGCGACGGCGCAAGAACAGCTTGTTGGCAAGACTCTTCTTCTCGAAGTGGTCTTCCAACCTTGACCATGCGTCGCATGCACCACTTGCCGACCGGACCAACGGTAGCTGGGAATCTTCCATGGCTAGACAGATCACTGCCATCGCCTTTCTTGACTTCCTCTTGTACGTCGCTTGGTCCAACTGAGTCTCGCACTGTTCCGCCTTGATCTCACCGCTGACGACCTCCCATAAGTTCCGCTCCTCAAGCACCATCCGCATCTTGAACTTCCAGGCGTGGAAGTTAGTTCCATCGAACTTGGAGATGCGGAGGGAGGAGGCGTCCATGGCAGCTAAGCTTGAATTGTTGGCGGTTTCAGAGTCTGACGAACTTGGGCTCATAACCTGATGAACTTTAGACTTCTTGGTCCGAGTGCAAAACGCAAAGTGAATATATATTTATAATAGGTACTTAGTTCGCAACTTTGAATACTACCTCTAAGCCTATTATTCGCAGTGACGTCACCCACTGACGTCATGCAATGACGTCATCCAGTGACGTCATTTCCTGACTTCGCCCTTACTGGTACATACCGGTACCCACCGGTATAGCGAAGCTTGGTCTTCCACTTGCTTCAACACTTGACGCAGCTTGACGAGGTGTCTTCTTCACAGCCGCTGTCTTTTCAACACAAGCAAATTGGAAAACGCAAAAGCCGTTCAAACAGCCAAGAACAAGCTCTACAACGGACACTTCCTGAGCGTCGTGGAACCGGGTTCGAAGAAGCAAGTGCACCGGATGACTTTGAAACGCACCAAGCGAAGCGACGGTCAAGCGCTCGAGCAAATCTGGACGAAGAGCAAAAGGGCAGTGACGAAGATAACGAGGATGCTACACCTCAAGTCTTTTGGCGAGCGAGTGTCAACGCAGTCGAAGGTACTGACTTGTCTGAGCCGACAACGTTTAAAGATGCTGTTGATGGACCGGATCAAGTGCATTGGTGTGAAGCAATCTGTGCTGAGTTGGACTCGATGAAACTTCGTGGCGTGCTTCGAGCGCCCAAACAGCCAGCTGGACAGCATACCATTGGCACCAAGTGGGTATTCAATATCAAGCGGAAAGCTGATGGATCCATCGAGAAATACAAGGCGCGTCTCGTGGCAAAAGGGTTCAAGCAGAAATATGGCATCGACTACACGGAGACGTTTTTGCCGGTAGTCAAGTACGTGACGCTGCGCATGGTAGTTGCAATCACGAAGTACTTTGACTGGACACTGGACCTACTGGACGTGGTGACAGCTTTGCTATGCGAAGAGATGAAGGAAAAGGTATTCTGCGAGATCCCAGAAGGGGTCGAAGTTGATGAAGACTTTGACTGCTTCGAATTGTTGAAGGCGATCTACGGACTAAAACAAGCATCGCGCGTATGGAACGAGAATTTCCATGAGTTCGTCTGCTCCATTGGATTTCAAGTATCTCATTTTGACCCGTGTCTTTATCTCAAGATTACAAGTGGCGAGTGCGTGCTTTTGCTGGTATACGTCGATGATGTGTTGGTGACTGGCAGCTCGACCGAACTGATTATGCGCACCAAGAGTGGCTTGAAGGCGCGTTTCGAAATGACTGACAGCGGCAAGTGCGCATTCGTGTTGGGCATCGAGCTGGTGGACAACGACAACGGTAGCGTGACGATGTGCCAGCGACGCTACGTGGAAGATGTTCTCAAGCGTTTTGGCATGAGCGACTGCAAAGCCGTCACCAGCCCAACAGACATCAGTTCTTGACTCATACCAAGCAGTGCAGTAACCAAAATTGACGCCCCGTTTTGTGAAGCAGTAGGCGCTTTAATGCACTTGATGACCGCGACACGACCGGACATTGCCTTTGCTGTGAGTTACGTTTCGCGCTTCATGGAAAACCTCCAAGTCGAGCACTGGATGGCGGTCAAGCGCATTTTGCGATACTTACAAGGGACTAAGTCGGACGGCATCTGTTTCAAGTCTGATGAAAAGATGGACTTCTGCGGCTACTCGGATGCAGACTGGGCCGGCGACCATGCAGACCGCAAGTCGACTTCGGGATATGCGCTCATCCTGATGGGTGATCCGGTGAGCTGGGGAAGCAAAAAGCAGTCAAGTGTGTCGCTGTCAACAAGTGAAGCTGAGTGCATTGCATTAAGTCTGGCTATTCAAGAAGGCAAGTGGGTGCATCGATTGCTATGCGAGATTCTGGATGCCGCAGAGGACAAGTCTGGACCCGAGCTCAAGATCATGGAAGACAACCAATCGTGAATCAAGATGACGAAGAATCCTGTGAACCATGGTCGGGCCAAGCACATCGACACTTGTGGTCCAATGGAAGTCGACTCGCTAGGTGGAAGCAAGTACTTGCTACTGACCGTAGATGAAGGCAGCGGATGTATGAAGGATTTCAGTCTGCGCGCCAATTCCGACAGCGAAGAGTGCATCAAGAAGTACATCGTGGCAGTACAGACGCAGTTTGACTACAAGGTCAAGTTCGTTCGCCACGATGGTGCACGCGAATCTGTGGCAAATTCGCTCAAGGCATTTTACGATGATCAACGAATCGAGCAGCAAGTTACCGTTCCATATGCGTATCAGACCAACGGCACGGCGGAACGGGCAATTCGGACCATTGTGACGATCGGGCGCAGCATGCTTCACTACGCCAAGCTGGACAAGTTTTTTTGAGTTGAAGCAGCAATGACGGCGATCTACATCAAGAATCGCCTACCATCGCCCAAGTGCCAAGATCAAACCCCGTTCGAGATCGTCAACGGATTTCGACCAAGTGTGAAGCACATGCGGGTTTTCGGCTGCCGAACGTTTGTGCTGACCCCTAAGGAAAAGAGATCGAAATGGGATCCAAAGGCTCGTGAAGGACGATTCATGGGGTACGAAGAAGTGTCAAAGGCATATCGCGTTTACGACATTGATGCGGATCAAGTGGTGTTGTAAGGTGAAAAGCTTGACGACCGAAACTGGGAGTGATGCTGGGAGTCCACTCGGAAGACCGGAGAAGACACTTGGGGGGTAGATGGAAGATTGGAAAGTGATTGATTATCGGGGCTTACTACTTACTACATGATTTATATGTGGTGCACATATAAATCATGTGAAGCGTCTCATCATCCTACGCGTCTAATCAACTATGGTAATTACCGTAAGAACTACGTCGTAAATACTAAGCTGAACAGGCGGTTCGGATTGGACCGGTCACGGTTACCAATACTGGTAGAAACCGATGACCGTCAACACGCCCCCTCAATCCGAACTCGCACGAATGCCGAGAGCCGTCGTCAAGTCCTTGTGACGAGGTCCCGAAAGTCCCTTGGTCATGATGTCCGCCATCATCACGGAAGTCTCGCAATACTCGAGCTGCACTTCACCGCGCTCGACCTCATCACGGATGTGATGGTACTTGATGTCGATATGCTTGGCTCGACCATGGTTCACCGGATTCTTCGTCATCTTGATACACGACTGGTTGTCTTCACGGATGACGAGGTCCGGTCCTGGTTCGTTTGCGGCCGCCAAAATCTCGCATAGCAGGAGATGCACCCACTTGCCTTCCTGTATGGCCAGACTTAGTGCGATGTATTCCGCTTCACTTGTCGACAGTGACACGCTTGACTGCTTCTTGCTTCCTCAACTCACAGGAGCACCCATCAGCATGAAAGTGTAACCCGAAGTTGACTTGCGATCAGCATGGTCGCCGGCCCAGTTCGCATCAGAATATCCGCGAAAGTCGATCTTGTCGCTTGGCTGGAAGCGGAGTCCGTGCGACTTGGTCCCTTGCAAGTAACGAAAGATGCGCTTCACCGCCGTCCAATGTTCTTGCTGCGGATTCTCCATGAAGCGCGAGACGTACCCCACAGCATACGCAATGTCCGGGCGCGTCGTGTTGAAAAGACAGCGGCTGTGAAGAAGACACCTCGTCAAGCTGCGTCAAGTGTTGAAGCAAGTGGAAGACCAAGCTTCGCTATACCGGTGGGTACCGGTATGTACCAGTAAGGGCGAAGTCAGGAAATGACGTCACTGGATGACGTCATTGCATGACGTCAGTGGGTGACGTCACTGGATGACGTCACTGCGAATAATAGGCTTAGAAGTAGTATTCAAAGTTGCGAACTAAGTACCTATTATAAATATATATTCACTTTGCGTTTTGCACTCGGACCAAGAAGTCTAAAGTTCATCAGGTTATGAGCCCAAGTTCGTCAGACTCTGAAACCGCCAACAATTCAAGCTTAGCTGCCATGGACGCCTCCTCCCTCCGCATCTCCAAGTTCGATGGAACTAACTTCCACGCCTGGAAGTTCAAGATGCAGATGGTGCTGGAGGAACGGGACCTATGGGAGGTCGTCAGCGGTGAGATCAAGGCGGAACAGTGCGAGACTCAGTTGGACCAAGCGACGTACAAGAGGAAGTCAAGAAAGGCGATGGCAGTGATCTGTCTAGCCATGGAAGATTCCCAGCTACCGTTGGTCCGGTCGGCAAGTGGTGCATGCGACGCATGGTCAAGGTTGGAAGACCACTTCGAGAAGAAGAGTCTTGCCAACAAGCTGTTCTTGCGCCGTCGCTTCTTCACGACAATGATGGAAGAAGGCGACGATGTACTCGAACACATCAACAAGCTCAAGACGCTGGCGGAACAGCTAGAAGCGGTGGGGGCTCCAGTCTGCGAGGACGATCTGGTGATCACACTCCTCGGCAGCCTGAGTGACTCGTATCAATTCTTGATCACAGCTTTGGAGTCGCGCTCAGACACTCTTAGCTGGGAGCTCGTGACGTCTCGACTGCTTCATGAAGAAATGAAGCGGAAGGAGCAAGGAAGTAAAGGTGATGAAGCTTCGCAAGGTCAAGCGTTCATCACAAGGGACAATCAGCGCAAAGGGCGACCAGTGAAGAAGTCCTGGCCGTGCCACAATTGCGGAAAGATTGGTCACTGGATGGCGGAGTGCCCCTCGCGCATCCAAGAAAACACGGAGAGACACCGGCCACAGCGTGCTCAAGACAGCGGCGACCGCTATCGATCACAACGTGCAAACGTCGCTCAAGAAGAAGACTCGGGCGACTACCTCTTTTCGATCGGTGAAACGACATCTGCGAAATCGAGCGACATCTGGCTGGTCGACTCCGGGGCGACGCAGCACATGACGTGCTCCAAGAAGTTCATGCGGAACTACAAGGGGTTTGACGCTGTGGATGTCCATCTCGCGGATGATGGAATCGTCCAAGCAATCGGCAGTGGGGACATTGTCATGTCGATGAAGACACCCCAAGGGATGAAGAAAGGTGTGCTCACAAACGCGTGGCACATCCCAAAGTTATCCAGAAACCTGTTCTCGGTCGGCCGCTTCACCAAGGATGTCGGTCCAGTGACGTTCACGAAGGATGGGTGCTATGGAGAAGCGAAAGGGACCAAGTGGAAAATTGGTGCCCGTGAAGGTAAAGGACTGTTCAAGCCGCAAATGACTCCAGTGGCGCCGGAACAAGCAAATGCAGCCAAGTCGTCGGGATGTCAAGGGGGCACCAAGTCGTACCTCTGGCACCTTCGGCTTGGCCACATAGGTCACGATGGACTCAATTGCATCGTGACGAAGAACATTGGAATTGGCATCGACATATCTTCGGTGAAGAAGTGGGACGTGTGTGAAGGTTGTGCTCTGGGAAAACAGACTCGAGTGCGCTTCCAATCAAACACTACAGCCCGCACCTCCAAACTCCTCGAAGTGATTCACAGCGACGTATGCGGACCGATGTCGATGGCAACTTTCAGTGGAAAACGGTACTTCGTGACATTCATTGATGACAAGTCAAGATACTGTGTCGTCTATCTGCTCAAGAGCAAATCTGAAGTTGTGGCGAAGTTCATGGAATACGCTGCGATGGCCGAAACGCAAACCGGAAAGCGCGTGAAGTACCTTCAAAGCGACAATGGGGGTGAATACAAGTCCGACAAGCTGGCACGATTCTGCGCGGAACGGGGAATACAACAAAGGTTCACACCCCCATATACTCCTCAGCTAAACGGAGTAGCTGAGAGAATGAATCGCACGCTGGTCGAGTGTGCGCGTTGCATGATGGAACACGCTGGACTGGGAAAGAGCTACTGGGGTGAAGCAGTGATGACGGCGATGTTTCTTCGAAACCGCTGTCCAACACGTGCCATTCACCAAGACAAGTCTCCATATCAAGTGTGGACGATGAAGAAACCGATTCTGGCCAACCTTAAAGTGTTTGGATGCCACGCGTATGTTCAAGTGCCTCAAGACAAACGCGCGAAGTTCGACTCCAAGTCATCACTCTGTCGTTTCCTGGGATACGCCGAACACCAGAAGTCATATCGATTTGAGGAAGTGTCAACAGGAGCGATCAAGATCAGTCGCGATGCCACATTCATGGAAGACAAGTTTGATGAAGGTCCGCGCAACTACAACGATGAGTCAAGTGTCGTTGAGTTTGATGATCAAGACGAGGACGAAGAAAAAGAAGAAGGTAAAACTGACGACGACATGGACTCGAGCGACGATGACAACGAAGACACCAGGTCTTCGAAGAGCAACATCAAGAGACACACGCGCACTCAATCACTTGAGAAAGCTACCGTCATTCCAAGTCCCAAGCGAAGAACATACAGAGGTCCGTCGCTTGAGCATGTGTCAGCGGCTGCAATGGATTTTGAAGCAGCCTACATCGTTGATTCAGTGGGGGAAACGCCGACTACATTCAAGTCGGCGATGGAATCAAGCGACTCCGGCAAGTGGAAAGAAGCGTGTGACTCGGAGTTCGATTCGCTTCAGAGAAACGACACGTGGGAAATCGTGCCTCTTCCGAAAGGTCGCAAGGCCATCGGGTGCCGATGGGTTTTTCGTGTAAAGGAGAATCAAGATGGCGAAGTTGAACGTTTCAAGGCAAGACTTGTGGCCAAAGGATTCTCACAGAAATTCGGAGTTGACTATGAAGAAACTTTCGCACCGGTGGCCAAGTTCACATCGATTCGTGTGGTGCTCAGTATGGCGGCCAAGTACGGCCTAATGCTACATCAGATGGACGTCAAGACAGCGTTTCTTAACGGCTCCCTCAACGAAGACATCTACATGGACCAGCCGGACGGATACCTGGATGCAACACAGCCGGACTATGTGTGCAAGCTAAAAAAGATCACTCTACGGCTTGAAGCAATCGCCTCGCATGTGGAACCAAACAATCGATGGGTTCATGATCAAGATGGGATTCAAGAAGTGCGAATCGGACCACTGCATCTACATCAAGCGAGACGACCAAGACATGATTCTCGTGGTGATCTACGTCGATGATCTCATCCTGGCCAGCAGCAACAACGAACTCCTCAAGTCAACCAAGATGGCGCTGAGCAAACGCTTCGAAATGACGGATCTCGGTGAGCTCGATTACTTTCTCGGCATGGAGATCAAGAACGACCGTAAGACGGGAATGGTGACTGTACAACAAACCAAGTTTCTCAAGTCCGTGTTAACCAAGTTCGGAATGGATAACAGCAAGCCAGTGAAGACGCCTCAAGATCCCGGCCTGAAGCTAACCAAGAACATGTGTGAACAAGAATGCAAGCACGAAGACACCATGTGCAACGTGCCATATCGAAGTGCTGTCGGAGGCATCATGTATCTCATGGTCGCCACACGTCCGGATCTAGCTGCTGCAGTGGGATCATTATCCCAGTTCTCGTCCGACCCATGCCCGACTCACTGGCAAGCTTTGAAGCGTGTGCTGAGATACCTGCAAGCAACGCCCAATCATGGTCTTGAGTTTACACGTGAAGAAGGAAGCCGTATCTGCGGGTACACCGACGCAGACTGGGCCGGCGACATTGAGTCAAGACGAAGTACAAGCGGATATGTGTTCATGATGAGCGGAGGATGCATCAGCTGGAAAAGCCAGAAACAACGGACGGTCGCGCTATCTTCAACAGAAGCAGAATACATGGCGCTTTCCGAAGCAACCAAAGAAGCAGTATGGCTCAAAGTGCTTTTGGGGGAACTTGGTGAGATGACAAGCGACGAAGCGATCAAGATGTATGAAGACAACCAAGGATCAATCGCTCTCGCCAAGAACCCGGAGTTCCATAAGAGAACAAAACACATCGACATACGCTACCATTTTGTGCGTGAGAAGGTGGAATCAGGTGAAGTCGTTTTGGAGTATTGCCCGACTCAAGATATGCTGGCAGACATGATGACCAAGCCGATCGCCGCTGTACAATTTGAAAACATTCGCGATCGACTTGGGATCCAAGGTGCCGCAGCTAACGAGTCGAGAGGGAGTGTTGAAAAGACAGCGGCTGTGAAGAAGACACCTCGTCAAGCTGCGTCAAGTGTTGAAGCAAGTGGAAGACCAAGCTTCGCTATACCGGTGGGTACCGGTATGTACCAGTAAGGGCGAAGTCAGGAAATGACGTCACTGGATGACGTCATTGCATGACGTCAGTGGGTGACGTCACTGGATGACGTCACTGCGAATAATAGGCTTAGAGGTAGTATTCAAAGTTGCGAACTAAGTACCTATTATAAATATATATTCACTTTGCGTTTTGCACTCGGACCAAGAAGTCTAAAGTTCATCACGTCGCAGTCGTCAAGTGCATCAAAGCTCCCACAGCTTCACGAAACGGAACGTCGATCTTGGCCGCTTCGGTGTTTGCGACAAGCCGAGTGCTCAAGTCGACCGGACTTGCTGTGGCCTTGCACTCATCCATGCCGAAGCGCTTGAGGATGTCGTTGACATACCGTCGCTGGCACATCGTCACGATGCCATCCGATTCGTCCACCAGTTCGATGCCCAGTACAAAAGTACACTTGCCACTGTCGGTCATCTCGAAACGCGTCTTGAGGTCGGCCTTCGTCTGCGCAATCAACTCGAGCGAGCTGCCGGTGACCAACACGTCATCCACGTAGACCAGCACGAGCACACAGTGACCGTCGACAACCTTGATGTAGAGACATGGGTCGAACGCCGACGCTTCGAAACCGATAGAGCATACAAACTCGTCGAAAGTCTCGTTCCACACACGTGAAGCTTGCTTGAGACCGTAGATCGCCTTCACCAACTCGAGACAGTCGAAGTCGCCATCCATCTCGACGCCTTCTGGTATCACGCAGTACACCTTCTCCTTCATCACTCCGTAGAGAAAGGCTGTCACCACATCGAGTTGGTCCAGTGGCCAGTCGAAATACTTGGTGATCGCGATCACCATACGCAGTGTCACGTACTTGACCACGGGCGAGAACGTCTCTGTGTAGTCGATGCCGTACTTCTGCTTGAAGCCCTTGGCAACGAGACGCGCCTTGTATTTCTCGACCGATCCATCCGCTTTGCGCTTGATCTTGAACACCCACTTGGTGCCGATCGCGCCTTGGCCTCTTGGTAGTTTTGCCGCACGGAAAACTCCACGAAGATGCATCGACTTGAGTTCCGCCTTCACAGCATTTCGCCAGTGATCTTGATCAGGACCATTGATCGCGTCTTGAAAAGTCACAGGTTCTGCTAGGTCCGTTGCTTCCACTGCGTTTGCACTTGCACGCCAATTTGTTGGAGGCGTCGAGTCGTCATCTTGATCGTAGACGCTTGCATCTTCTTCGTCATCAGACATCGTTTCTGGAGCACTTGATCGTCGTTTCTGGTGACGGTTGGAGACGTGTGCCGGCGCACTTGCTTGTTCCAACCCAGTTCGGGGGCGAGCTGAACGTGACATGCCGGGTCTTGCTTCACTCTTGCGCTTGCCAGTCTGCTTGTAGACGGTTTGACGCACGTCGTCCTCGTTGATCGCTAGGAGGTCGAGGTCCAACTCCGCATCTTCATCATCGTCACTTGGTCGGTCTATAGAAAAATCAAAAGTCGATTCGTCGAAGGTGATGTCACGACTGATCACCACTTGGTCCGCCTCAATGTCGTACACTCGATAAGCTTTTGACGCTTCTTCGTAGCCCATGAACATCCCTTCACGAGCCTTCGGGTCCCACTTCAATCGCTTCTCCCTTGGTGTCAGGATAAACGCCCGACATCCAAACATGCGCATGTGCTTGACACTTGGTTTCGACTTGTACACGATTTCGAACGGAGTCTTGTGGTCGATCTTGGGTGAAGGCAGGCGGTTCTTGATGTAGATCGCCGTCATTGCCGCTTCAGCCCAGAAACACTTCTCCAGTTTTGCATGATGCAACAAGCTGCGTCCGATCGTGACGATGGTCCTTATCGCGCTTTCTGCGGTGCCGTTGGTCTGGTGTGCATACGGCACCGTGATCTGTTGTTCGATACCATGATCTTCGTAGAAGGTCTTGATGGAGTTGGTCGCAAACTCATGCGCTCCATCGTGCCGAACAAACTTGATCTTCGTGCCGAACTGAGTTTGAATCTTGATAATGTGGTTCTTGATACAGTCTTCACTCTCAGACTTGGACCGCAGACAGAAGCCCTTCATGCAACCGCTAGCTTCGTCAACCACAAGCAGTAAGTATTTGCTGCCGCCGATCGAGACTTGTTCCATTGGCCCGCAGATGTCGAAGTGCAGCAACTCGAACACACCATATTGGCGTTTGTCACGGTTGGTTGGGAATGGTTTTTGGACCATCTTTCCTTGCTGGCAACCGCGACACACACTTGGACTAGTCGAGTTGAGAGGTGCCTTGGCGTCCTTGATCATGCCAGTGGCCACCATCTTGCGCAGAACTTCGAGGGGTGCATGACCCATGCGCGCATGCAAGTCGATAGTCCCATTGCGTGTTGCTGCATTTGCCGATCGTTGAGGAGTCCGCAGCCAGTAAAGTCCATCGACGAGATCCGCTGTTGCCACGACTTGTGTGGAATTCTTGCGCTTCACTTGCATCTTGGATCCATCGAACACGACTTGGAACCTGCCACCCTTGTTGATCTGTGGCACCGAAAGCAGATTCTTGCTCATACTTGGTACGAACAGTGCGTCCTTGATCTCGATGTCGCGTTCGTCACCATTGGGCAGAACCACCCGTTCCATGATGGTTCCCACACCCTTGATCGCAGCCTTGCTGCCATCAGCCACTGATAGTTCGCCTTCCTCTCGCTCATTCAGACTTGCAAACTTGGCCTTGTCGTTGCAGATGTGATGCGTCGCACCGCTGTCGACTGCCCACATCCCTGGCATATTCTTGCCCGTCGAAAGTCCAGCCTCCAGCGAAACCGCGAACGCAACTCGATCGTAGTTGTCGTCGTAGTTGCTGTTGGTTCGCCACTGAACATTGTTGGCTCCGCGTCCACGAGCATTGTTGCCGCCGCGTCGAGCTCCACCTTGATTTTCGTCCTTCTGCTTGGTCCAGCACCGCTCCGCCGTGTGCCCCAATTTTCCGCAGTACGTGCATTGGTGGGGTTCACGCTCGGTACTGAACGCCATGGCCGCGTCTTCAGTCTTCACCGATGTCGTCTTGTCACCTTGCCTCTTGATGTGCTCATTCGTGAGCACTCTCACGACGTCTCGCGATCGCAGTTCCGCGCTGTTCATCTCCAAGTTGAGAACGACGTTCTCGTAGCTCTTGGGAGGCTGCGCAACAAGCAGATCGCCACGTCCTCGTCCTCCATCTTGGCGCCGATGCTGCTGAGCTTCGCGCTGATGTTGAGGACTTCGTTGCAATGATGCATCACATTGCCGCCTTCCGCCATCTCCATGCTGAACAACTGGCGCTTCAAGTAGATGCGTCCAGCCTTCTGCGACCCGCCGTACAGCGTCTTCAAACGCGCCCACGCGACCCACGCCTCTTCACAGTCATCAACCACGTGATGATAATCCGCGCTCATGTGCAGAAGCATCAAGCCGAACGCAATGTTGTTCGTCTTGACGTAGTCGTCACTGGCGCGAGGATCGGCGAAGGTGGGGGGGGTGGTCTCCCGGTTCACCACGTGCCACGCCGACTTGGTCAGGAACACGCCACGCATGTAGCGGCTCCACATCGCGTAGTTGTCGCCGTCGAACTTGTCAATGGAGATCTTGGTGGTGGCATCGTGAGCAGAGGACATCGTGCTTGGGCTCATAACCTGTTGTAAGGTGAAAAGATTGACGACCGAAACTGGGAGTGATGCTGGGAGTCCACTCGGAAGACCGGAGAAGACACTTGGGGGTAGATGGAAGATTGAAAGTGATTGATTATCGGGGCTTACTACTTACTACATGATTTATATGTGGTGCACATATAAATCATGTGAAGCGTCTCATCATCCTACGCGTCTAATCAACTATGGTAACTACCGTAAGAACTACGTCGTAAATACTAAGCTGAACAGGCGGTTCGATTGGACCGGTCACGGTTACCAATACTGGTAGAAACCGATGACCCTCAAGAAGTGGTGATATCTCGCGATGTCACATTCGACGAATCAACGTTTGGTTTCTCGCCGACGCTACCACAAGAAATTGTTGATGACACTGCGCTGGATATCGAATCGATGAACATCAGCGACGAGCCTCACCCTATGTGATAAACTATAGACTTCTTGGTCCGAGTGCAAAACGCAAAGTGAATATATATTTATAATAGGTACTTAGTTCGCAACTTTGAATACTACCTCTAAGCCTATTATTCGCAGTGACGTCATCCAGTGACGTCACCCACTGACGTCACCCACTGACGTCATGCAATGACGTCATCCAGTGACGTCATTTCCTGACTTCTGCCCTTACTGGTACATACCGGTACCCACCGGTATAGCGAAGCTTGGTCTTCCACTTGCTTCAACACTTGACGCAGCTTGACGAGGTGTCTTCTTCACAGCCGCTGTCTTTTCAACACTCCCTCTCGACTCGTTAGCTGCGGCACCTTGGATCCCAAGTCGATCGCGAATGTTTTCAAATTGTACAGCGGCGATCGGCTTGGTCATCATGTCTGCCAGCATATCTTGAGTCGGGCAATACTCCAAAACGACTTCACCTGATTCCACCTTCTCACGCACAAAATGGTAGCGTATGTCGATGTGTTTTGTTCTCTTATGGAACTCCGGGTTCTTGGCGAGAGCGATTGATCCTTGGTTGTCTTCATACATCTTGATCGCTTCGTCGCTTGTCATCTCACCAAGTTCCCCAAAAGCACCTTGAGCCATACTGCTTCTTTGGTTGCTTCGGAAAGCGCCATGTATTCTGCTTCTGTTGAAGATAGCGCGACCGTCCGTTGTTTCTGGCTTTTCCAGCTGATGCATCCTCCGTTCATCATGAACACATAGCCGCTTGTACTTCGTCTTGACTCAATGTCGCCGGCCCAGTCTGCGTCGGTGTACCCGCAGATACGGCTTCCTTCTTCACGTGTAAACTCAAGACCATGATTGGGCGTTGCTTGCAGGTATCTCAGCACACGCTTCAAAGCTTGCCAGTGAGTCGGGCATGGGTCGGACGAGAACTGGGATAATGATCCCACTGCAGCAGCTAGATCCGGACGTGTGGCGACCATGAGATACATGATGCCTCCGACAGCACTTCGATATGGCACGTTGCACATGGTGTCTTCGTGCTTGCATTCTCTGTTCACACATGTTCTTGGTTAGCTTCAGGCCGGGATCTTGAGGCGTCTTCACTGGCTTGCTGTTATCCATTCCGAACTTGGTTAACACGGACTTGGAGAAACTTGGTTTGTTGTACAGTCACCATTCCCGTCTTACGGTCGTTCTTGATCTCCATGCCGAGAAAGTAATCGAGCCCACCGAGATCCGTCATTTCGAAGCGTTTGCTCAGCGCCATCTTGGTTGACTTGAGGAGTTCGTTGTTGCTGCTGGCCAGGATGAGATCATCGACGTAGAGCACCACGAGAATCATGTCTTGGTCGTCTCGCTTGATGTAGATGCAGTGGTCCGATTCGCACTTCTTGAATCCCATCTTGATCATGAACCCATCGATTGTTTGGTTCCACATGCGAGGCGATTGCTTCAAGCCGTAGAGTGATCTCTTTAGCTTGCACACATAGTCCGGCTGTGTTGCATCCAGGTATCCGTCCGGCTGGTCCATGTAGATGTCTTCGTTGAGGGAGCCGTTAAGAAACGCTGTCTTGACGTCCATCTGATGTAGCATTAGGCCGTACTTAGCCGCCATACTGAGCACCACACGAATCGATGTGAACTTGGCCACCGGTGCGAAAGTTTCTTCATAGTCAACTCCGAATTTCTGTGAGAATCCTTTGGCCACAAGTCTTGCCTTGAAACGTTCAACTTCGCCATCTTGACTCTCCTTTACACGAAAAACCCAATGGCACCCGATGGCCTTGCGACCTTTCGAAGAGGCACGATTTCCCACGTGTCAGTTTCTCTGAAGCGAATCGAACTCCGAGTCACACGCTTCTTTCCACTTCTGCCGGAGTCGCTTGATTCGCATCGCCGACTTGAATGTAGTCGGCGTTTC